AGACAGAAAGCCTTCCCATGGACCTGGGGCCCTAAATTCGGACTTGTAGCCTACTGGACTGTGAGAGAATAAACTTCTCTTTGTTAAAGCCATCCACTTGTGGTATTTCTGTTATAGCAACACTAGATAACCAAGACATTCACCTTTCTCTTTTCCCTCCATCTCCAGGAGGTAAGTGGGAGGAGAGCAGCTTCCTCTACAATCTGACCTGGGCCTGTTTATTTTTTGTTTTTTTAATTCAAGTTCAGCCTCCAGCCTGTCCATTCCAACTGTCTCTGGCTGAGGCAACTTGGGAAGTGTCTACGCTGAGGACAGCACAACTGGAAGCTCTCCATTTCCTTTTCATTTCTGTGTATTTCAGTGGTGGAGTCAGAGGGGCAATTATGTTGTTACAGTAACGGCCACTTGTCTTGCACAGCCAAGAAAGAAGTGAAGGATGAGAGAAGGCCAGACAAAAGAGCAGAGCAGCCAGTCGACGGTAATCACAACACTGGTGATCAGGGGAAGACAAATGGACTCTCTCTTGCTCTTAGAGACTCATGGTGTTAAAACTCTCCAAAAGGACTTTACAGGAGCGTCTGAGAGTGGAATGAAATCTAAGACATTTACACTTAATAAAAACCAAAACACCAAACCTGTTGCCATCTAGTTGATTCCAACTCATGGCACGTGTTTCAGAGTGGTGCTGTGCTCCCTGGGTTTTCAAGGTTGTGACCTTTCGGAAGCAGATCACCAGGCCTTTCTTCTGAGGCAGCTCTGTGTGGGTTCGAACCACCAGCCTTTCAGTTAGCAGTTGAGCACTTAACCTTTTGCGCCACCCAGGGACTCTGTTTACACTTAATAGTAGTGACTATTAAGTGGAATTGCTATGCTGGTGGAAACAGGGTCATGTGAGTCATAAGAAATGAAGTTCATGCTGGTAGCGGATGCTGTTGGGTACCCATCCCAAATCACTTCCACCCTCCTTCCTGACTGAGGGGGTCTTGATTATGTTTAAGAGCCTGTCCTTCCCCTATGTGACTCATTGGTAAATACTGATCAGGTGAGGCCAATCATAGTGGTCCGATTCTCATCATTAGGGACTGGTTTAGGGGCAAAAGAGGCCTGGTGACTCAGTGGTTAAGCGCTTGGCTGCTAACTGAAAGGTCAGAGGTTTGAACCCACAGCCACTTCACAGAAGAAAGATGTGGCAGTCTGCTTCCGTAAAGATTACAGCCTTGGAAATCCTATGCAGCAGTCTACTCAGTCCTATAGGGTCTCTATGAGTCAGAATTGATTCAACAGCAATGGGTGGCTTGGGTTTGGGGGCAAGCATGTGATCCCGCTGGTCACTGAAAGGTTAGGGAGTTAGACGCCTCTGGGAAAGGAATGTTTTTATTGTGTGCCACTAAGTTGATTCCAACCCATAGTGATCCCATATGAACTGCCTCATAGAGTTTCCTAGACTGTAATCTTTACAGGAGCAGATCACCAGGTCTTTTCTCCTGTGGAACGACTGGTGGGTTCAAGATGCCGACCTTTCAGTCAGCAGCTGAGTGCTTAAGCAATGTGCCACCAGGACTCCTTGAGAATGAGGTAAAAGGACTAAAAACACTCTCATCTCTTCCATGATGCCAGTAAGCTTTTCTTCTAGACTACGACACATCCTTAGATGTTGATCAGGTGGCCCTCTCAATCCACCTATGGTTAGATCCACCTCCTTTGTCAGTCAGGCCATATGTATATACAGCACGTGGACTAGAAGAGTGGAAGGAAAAACAGGGGAAATAGAGAGATGTTTCAATGCTTTATCTGGGTCTAATGCAAGGAGGTGATTCACTGGAAGACTCAAAGTCCTGAGAGGGAAGCAATGCCTGGGAGTGTTTTCAGTGTCCTAGTGAACTTCCTCTGCTTTGAGAATGGCGACAGTTCCTCGTTGTGGGTTTCCCTGGAAGGCTTATTTCACAGTTCTCTGATCAAAGCAGTCTGTAGCTGAGGAAGTAAATAATGCCATTCTCACATCTTACTCAGATTACTCCCCACACATCCGAGCTGGGTTAAAAGGCTCTGTGATGGTCAAATAGCCCCAGTAGGAACTGAAAAGTAGGCATTGTGAGGCTAGAGAGTGTCCTGCACTGCTTAAAATGCCTGTCTAGTGTGTTACTGAACCTCGATCATAAGCAAAGACTGCCAAATTACCCAGAACAATTCACCTGTAGCACTTAAGGAAAAGAAAAAAAAAAAAAAAGCTGTTTTTAAAGGAACAAATTTGAAAAGTAATTATTGCTTTCTTCCCTTTTGGATCCTTCCTCCTGATTATCCTGCTTTGCTGCAAGGATGTCTAAATATTGTCACCTCTTAAAACCAGTCTTCTCATGCTGTGTGTGCACCCCTGGGCTGCGTGCTATAGAGAACAGCCGCTGACTCCCAGTTTCCCAGAATTCCAGGCAGGGCGCTAACAATGCTCTAGGGTAGGAATGGGCAGAATTCCAAGAGGAAATTCTCTGGGGGCAAAAAGGGGAGGGAGATCTGTTATTTGTGGCTGAGCGCATCTTTTGAACACCCTCTTCTTTTTGACGTTGCTGTTGTTGTGTGCCAGCTAGTCGATTCCAACTCACTGTGACCCTATAGGACAGAGTAGAACTACCCCTAAAGGGTTTCCCAGGCAGTAATCTTTACTGGAGCAGACCGTCAGGTCTTCTTCTGTGGAGCAGCTGGTAGGTTTGAACCACTGACCTTTCAGTTAGCAGCCAGGTGCTTAACAATTGCACCACCAGGGCTGCTTCCTCTTTTTAATAGGGTCTAACAATTTTAGGCCCACTTTCCAAAGTAGAACCCTTAAGACTACATTTCCCAGCTTCCCTTGCAGCTAGACACAGGCACGTGATCTAGGTTCCACCAATCAGACACACCCACTCAAGACTGATTGGGATGTGAGCCACCAGCACAGAGAAGCTTTTCACACGGCCTCAGGCTGCAGGCACAGGTGGTGGCTGAGGCCACGGAGGGGCGTGCAAACTCAGGCAGTTGTGCAGAGTGCTTCAGGGGGAGCAATAGGACGACAGCCATCTCATCCACAGGATCAGATGCGTGCCTTTGGCCATTGACCTGCAAGCTTATCCTTGAACCTGTTACTCTGGCCTTCCCTACCTAATACATTCTCATGCATTTCTCCTTTTCTACTTAAACTACCCAGGCAGGACCCTGGTATCTGCAGTTAAGAGTTCCCCGACCCAAGACGCACACACAGATATGTGACGTGACTCCACTTGCAAGCAAGAGTTCCAGAAGGCTCTCCCTGTAGGGACAAGCTATCTCTTAAATACAGGGACTCTAATCATGACCTGGGTGTGGTATGGAGGAGTCCTACCAGGGACGGGAGATTTAAGTCGACTGCCGTTGCGGTTCAGTTAGACTCAGAGGAAAAAAATCGTTTGCTGCAAGTGGGAATCACATCTCTTGTGGAAAAAAACAAGTGGCAGTCTGGGTGGGGTCATCCTAGGAGCACTGCCCCCCTTGGGAGACTTTTCTTTCCTTGCCTGAAATGCCACCATTAGAGATAGCTTCCCCTGAGTCTGGAAGGGTTGGGGTTTTTTGTTTTTGTTTTTTTCCCCATCTTTATGAGGGTCTCATCTGAGTGCAAGTCCTCCTGAGAGGGAGTACCCCTTCACCATTAGCTGCATGGCAGGTTTTGGTTGACACAGCTCAGGGCTGAGTTCTTGGGAAAGCGGCCCAAGAGGGTCCCAAACAGGGAACGGGGGCTCTGTAAAGCAGAAAACCAGTTGCCGTCGAGTCAATTCCGATTCATAGTGACCCTATAGGACAGAATAGAGCTGCCCCCACAGGTTTCCAAGGCTGTAATCTTTACAGGAGCAGACTTCCGTATCTTTCTTCCACGGAGTGGCTGAGATGTTCGAGGTGACAATCTTTCGGTTAGCAGCCCAGTAATCTTATTACTGTTTCAAATGTGATTTCCCTAAACGAAGGAAATCTAAACATGATAAGCTTCAAAACATGTTCATGTGTAAATGTCTGGACAGAAATGAAACTGGTGAGTGTTACGAACCTCCAGGCCACGCTCTCTGAAAATGGAAGAGTCTCTTGCATTCATCTTATCTTTTCGCCACAGAGCTGACTAAATCTAGCTGTGGGGACTACTTCTCCTCCCAGACTGGTGATGGAAGTTTGAAGAAAACAGTTGCTCCTCGCTAGGCTTAAATATTATGAAAGGGAGGTTAAAAATGAGGTGATGCAGAAGCCATTAAATGCTGCAGAAAATCTGACGACTTCAGATGTTCGAATGCCAGTTCCACTTACTGTGTGACCTTGGGCAAGTTACCTGACATCTCTAATCCTGTGTTTCTTCATCTATTAAATGAGAATGATAATTCTCAGCTCATAGATTGTTGCAAGGAGTATATTAATAATGCAGGCAAAATACCTGGACCATGGTAAGGGCTGAAGAAATGGGAATTATTTAGTGATGAAATGGGAATTATTAAGTGATGAATAGCACTTTAACCTAGCCCATCCAATGGCAATGTCAACAGGAGTATCAAGTCTTACCAGAAACTGCTAGAAAGGCTGTAAATCACTACAAGGATTCAGTAGGTGGCCTTCAGTGGGGAGCGCTAAGGACAATATCAAACTAATGTTAACCTCTGCCACGCTGTCCTCTCATCTGAACTTGAAAAATAAGAGAACTCCTTGCCCTTTGGAAAATGTGTTTAAGCTTTTATTGTGAATGGTAACAGGCTGGGGGCTTGACTCTAAATGACAAAGCCTACATGGAGGAGTGGTCGACAGCATTAATTGGAAGACTTTTTGGATAATTGTTCACAGTAAACAAGTTTAAACAAGAAGATGCTGCTTGAAAACCACAAATTTAGTCACGGTTGAAACATACAAGAAGAGTTAAGTGTTTTGCACAAAGGAATTTTCGTTGATGATCCAGTAGAACTGATGTTTGTAGAACACAGTCTCTTAACGGTTTTGTTTCGATCCTTTGAGAGAGACTGTCATTACCCATTTAGCTGTAGGTGTTTTCCTTCACGCTGAACACTTGGAGCAGGAAGTCCACCAACTTAAAACATATTAGAAAGAGTTAAGGAAACATTGTTAGTGATGCTAAAGTCTAATAAAACCAAGCCAGTTGCCATCAAGTCAGTTTCGACTCATGGCGACCCCATATGCTTCAGAGTAGAACTGTGCTCCATAGGGTTTTCATGGCTGTGACCTTTCAGAAGCAGATTGCCAGGTCTTTCTTCCAAGGCACTTCTGGGTAGATTCCAACCCCCAACCTTTTGGTTAGCAGCCAAGTGCTTCACCATCTGCACCGCGCAAGGACTCCTCTAAAGTCTAACGCTGGAGACAAATCCATTCCCAGCAAACCACTAGCATCACTTGGGAACTTGTTCAAAAGGCAAATTCTTGGGTGCCCTAGACTTACTGAATCAGAAATTATGGGGGCAGCGCCCAGCAATCTGTGCTTTAACAAGCCCACCAGGTGATTCTGATACAGGTTAACATTTGAGAACAAGATGGCTTTCACCTGAGAGGGAAATTAACGTCCACCTTTTCTTTTCTTTTTTCTTTTTTTTTTTTTTTTTTTGAGCCTTTTTCTTCTATCAGTTTAACTTCTACCCTGAGATGATTAAGTAGGTATGTTTTGACCAATGTTGGCCATTAAATGCATTATCCTCAATAGTTTATTACTAAAACAACCTCTGGGAAGGGGGATTATCAGGAAATATGCGGTTTTAATTCTTACTTTGCTTACTTTGGCAATGCCTCATTACACAAATCAAAGCTAGTTTCTGAACTGCACAATTACACATTATAAACCTCTGATTGTAAATGGTAGTAGTGTGGGCAATTTGGGAAGAGGAGTTCATTTGGATTTCTGCCAATTTTAAATTTATTGTGGTTTGCTTGCAGTGGCGTCTGCTCAAATTAACTGAGACTGAAGAAAGAAGGAACAGTTGTAATTTAAAAATACTTATTTGTTTCCATATAGCACCCTTCAGCCGCTGAGATGTGAAAACACTTTCCACCCAGACTGGAGCTTATTACTCTTGTCCAGCATCTCCGGCAATTTGGATCCCAACTTCCACAGCAGCCATCTGTTTCTAGCAAAGGAACTCCTAGTATTCTCAGAGACAGTATTGCCTGCTCAGCAGCCCAATTGTTTTGGGGAGTGTGCTAATGAGGCCAGGGCCTGGCGTTAGATTCCCGATTCCCACGCAGGTCAATTAGCTTTGCTTCCCTCCGTGAGGCCTGGCTGCACTATTAAGGGCTGCCAGCCTGCCAGAAGATGCCACCATCCATCTTGCCTAAGAAGCCACTGGTCGTAAAGGGGCCAACTGAGGAAGTCCCCCATTGGCTCCAAATATTGAAGCTGAGAGGTTTGGCTCAAGGGAATTGAACTAATGCTAAAAGGAGAAGAAGAATTGTGTAACCTGGGAAGATCAAGCACTTGGAGGCCCACAAATGGTTGTGGGGTGGGTTGGATTTTGGGTGGGGGCTGACTTCATTCTGCTCCTTTATAGACACTGTCAGGATAATCAGAGGCTTGTTAGTTCTTGATTGCATGTTATGTTTCCTATATTTGCAGCTTTCTTTAGAGCATTTCAAGCATTAAGAAAGAAAACCTGTCTAGGTCCCAGGGAGGCGAAATGGGTTTGTGCTTGACTACAAACCTAAAGGTTGGCGATTTGAACTCACTGAGCAATGCCACGAAAGAAAGGCCTGGCAATCTGTTTCTAATAAAGATTATAGCCAAGAAGACCCTATGGAGCAGTTATATCTGTAACATATGGGGTCGCCATGAGTTGAGTATCACCAAATAAGTTGATATGTGAATCCTCTATCTAGCAGAGGACTATTAAAATTAAGAAAGGAAATCTTTCTATTCCCTCTTCTGATTTGATGGGACAGAGCAGCCCCTTAAAAGTGAGGACAAACTTGCACATTTGCTCCTTTTCTGTACCAGCCTCAGTAGCACATGTCCTGGCCCCATTTTTTAATTTCCACCAAATAAAGAAAAAGCCTAAGGCTGCAGAGAACAATGGACTGGGTTCAGGTTACAGAGGAAACCCAAAGGCCGAATTAAACCCTGCTTGAAACTCAAAACAATCCACAGCCACATCCAGGATTTTGGATTAAGCCCTGGTGCTGCTCTGAGCACTGTTTCAAGTTGTAGAAACCATGGAGTAAAATTTCCAATAATTGCAGAATAGAATTACAGGATTTGTGAGGAGGTCACAGTTAAAAGAAAGATTAAGGTTAGCCTTGAAAATTATTAGCTGTAATTGCTAATAAAGTTCTGGAGCTTGTTTGCCATGATATAGTAGGTAGAGATTCTGTGCACATTTACAGAAATCTTTTCTGAGTTAAGAAAATATCTTTGTCATCAAAATGTAGGAAAATGCTCAGAGTTTCTAACTACAGCTCTGGGAGAGTCAGCAACAGGATTTGCTCTTTTATTACTAAAAATGGGAGCAGAGAGCATATGTGGATAGTTTTAAATTTTATGAATGTTCCTTCAGCCTCTGAAAACTCCTGCTGCTAATTCTGGAAATGGTAAGCTAAGTTATTAAACTCTGTTCTAACACTGAGAGATACATGGGTTGCTAATAAAACTAGTCTCTTGTCAACCCTTCTTTCTCTTTTTTTATAATTTATTTTATTTTTGTTGTTGTTGAGAATATACACAGCGGAACATATGCCAATTAACAGTTTCTACATGTACGATTCAGTGACACCGATTACATTCTTTAAGTTGTGCAACTATTCTCACCCTCCTTTTCTGAGTTGTTCCTCCTTATTAACATGAACTCACTGCTCCCTAAGTTTTCTGTCTAATCTTCCGACTTGCTGTTGTGGATTTGATCCCGTGTAGATAGATCGTCAAAGAGCATAATGCTCAAGACAGACATTCTTTACTAGTTAAGCTAAACTATTGTTTGGTTTTAAGAAGACTTCAGGGGGTATTTTTGGCTTAAGATTTAAGATTTAAAGATGGTAACTCCCTCTTTTTGAATAAGGTAATTGTAAGACGTTTCCAGTTCTACATAAGGACATATTTTCATGGAGGCAGAATTTCCAAAGAAAGAGGAGTTGTAAACTGTTTTGGTCTGTGCAAAGACTAAAGGAATTGTTGAACTCGTTTTTTATATGACTGGTAAATATATCCAAAAGAAACATATCAATGTGTGAAATGACTATTCACTCAACTTGAGGTAAGATGAGATGGAATGGGATTTCCAAACTTGTAAAAACAAGACAAAAGCATAACAACATATAGTAAGAAATCAATGCCTGAATATAAAAAGGTGTCCTTTTTTTCAGCTTATTTTGTATATAGATAAGTATTACCCCCTTTGAGGCAGCCACTCTCTGTGGCTGCCTACTCAATCCTACAACACTGCTACCTTTTTGGAACTATTCTTTTGATTGCCTTTGAAGTTTACAGAACATGGTGGGAAAATCTAGATCCTTGAATTTTTCAAAACATTCCAAAGATAGCAGAGCCAGGCTCAGGGAAGAAGCAATTCAAGCCGGTTGTTGCTTTTTTGGTTGAAAATTAAGGAACTACAGATTAATGAAATGATTGTGTATGTGTGTAGGTATTTTATGAATGTACTGTGAGACCTACTAGAAGCCCTGGTGGCACAATGGTTAAGCGCTCAGCTGCTAACCAAAAGGTCAGCGGTTCGAACCCACCAGCCACTCTGAAGGAGAAAAGGCCTGGCGATCAGCTCCTGTAAAGATTACAGCCTAGGAAACCCTATGGGGACGTTCTACTCTGTCACATGGGGTTGCTGTTAGTTGGGATCGACTAGCCTCAATGGCACACAACAACGACAACACTAGGAGGGTTAGTCCATTTCAATGTGTGTAAATTCATTTCAGAGGATTTAGAGGTGGTGATTGTTGTTACTCTGGAAAAATGAGAAGAGCACTGTTGTTGGACATCCACCCCCAGAAACTCCAAGGAAAGTTGACTAAGAGAAGGCATGGCCGCCAAGGGGCTGAGAAGTCAATCACAAATTCACGATGCTCTCAGAACCGTGTGGCCCATCAACACAGAGGGGCTGGAGGAAGAACACCTATAACGCAGGTGTGGGCAGGGCTTCTGCTGCAATAGACTCATCCAGGACAAAGCTGGCACTTAATTCTCTATTTGTTGATTTAATTTTGATTTTCTTTCTGAGTAAAAGCTACTAGAGATTTTCTCTCTGATGCTTAATGCACCCATGAGCTTTCATTTCGCAATTTTGCAGGTGAAAACCACTGTAGACTGAAGGGTAGAAACCAGTTGCCATGGAGTCCATTCCAACTCATGGTGACCCTGTATGTGTCAGAGTAGATATGTGCTCCACAGAGTTTTCAGTGGCTGGTTTTTTGGAAGAAGATCACCAGGCCTTTCTTCTAAGGTGCTTCTGGGTGGACTCGAAACTCCAACCTTTCAGTTAGCAGCTGAGCGCTTTAACCGTTTGCACCACCCAGGGTACTCAAACACAAAACCTTATTCCAGGGAAGAAGCTTGGCAAAGCCAGTCGTGAGCCTTCTGTAAGGGGGTCATCATTCTAAGAGTTAGGGATCATGGAAGAGTGAAGGAGGGAGATTTCCAAGCACGAAGAGTGGAAAGCAATATTATTTATCGTCAGAAATATCAAGAAGCAAGGTCTGCTACTGCCTTCTGCCTCCTTCATATTTAAGATGATTGAGGATCATTCCCCAGAGTTGTCTCACGTGGCAGCCAACCGTCCAAGGCAGAGTATCCCAGGATCTTGTCCTGGTTCCACCAGCTAAAAGCTATGTGATGAGTCTCAGTTTTCTCACCTCTAAAATGGAGAGAATAATAAAACCTTCCTCATAAGACTGCTGGAAGCATAAACCAAGGAAATGCAGGTAAACTGCTTAGCCCTTTATAGTAAACACTCAGTAAAACTATTATTATTACTACTATTACTGCAATCGTTACATATTTTGTTTTTCATCATACATTTCACGGAAATGTCTTAAAAGTTAATAATAATCACCTCTTTTTTCAGCTGCCTTTCTTTCTTCCTTTAAATTTTATTCTCTCCTTTATCCTGCTTACTGTCGTTTGTACCTAAACAATGCCAGTTTGATATCATTACTTTTTCCCTGACCTCTGTAAAATCATATATAGGACAAATTAGTTGACCTCAGATATGTTCACCAAATTTTGAAATATTAGGGTGAAACTTGAACTAGGTAACCATGAACAACTGCCTCCTCTGCCGTGGGACCAGAAGAACTGGATGGTGCCTGGCTACCATTACTGAATGATTTGATCAAAGATTCTATAGAAGAATCTTGATCAAAAGGGGGAAAACGTAGAACAGAATTTAAAATTGTCATGGAATCCAGACTTTTTGAAGCCATGGGAGCTGGATGAACCCCCAAAACTATTGCCTTGAGAGAATTTTTAAACCTTAAACCAAAAATATCCCCTAAAATTATCTTCAAACCAAATAATAGTTTAGCTCAATTAATAAAGAATGTCTGCCTTTAGCATTGTGCTGTTTTAAAGAACTATCTATATGGGATCAAATTGACAACAACTCAAAAGGCTGGATAGAAAGCTTTGGGGGCAATGAATTCATGTTAATGGGGGAGGAACAACTCAGACAAGGAGGATGAGAATGGTCGCACAACTTGAAGAATGTAATCAGTGTCACTGAATGGTACGTGTAGAAATTGTTAAATTGGAGTGTATGTTTTGCTGTGTATATTTTCCACAACAGAAAACACAATAAATTATTAAAAAAGAATTCCATCAATTTATAATTGCTTATTCCTAGATTGGAGTTTGGAACCAATACCCTTTTGATGTCCTAAAAGGAAAAATAACCAATTATGTTTAAAAGAGAAGATAGCATGGAAATTGTCTACTACTTTGCTTAGTATGCGTTGGCGTTAGCCTAATTAATGTGGTGGTTTGAAGGCTTGCATCACAAGCCATTTTATTCTTCTCTGCTCTAACTACCCCTCCTTCCAAGTCTCCCCAAACACCCTGCTCCCTGCCTCCCCAGTACATTAGTTTTACCTTCAGGTTTGGAACCTACGTCTTTAAAGTTGCTGCTGTCCTCTGACTCCCAGGTAGGCTGGTGACGGCCCAGGGGCTTGCGAGGAGGTAGCTGACGGCTTCTGTTCCCCTTGGCTTCTATGAGGCCCAGCAAGTTCCTGGCTGCTTCTTCCCACTTCAGATGTTCCCTCAGCTGTTGCTTCCGGTTCCCTCCTTCATCAACATACAGGGACTCTCCTGTGCTCTTTTTCCCCATTAAATGCCCTGTAAAAAAACAAAACCAAAGCAGAATGCCACAAATTTAACCAAAGAGAATGAATGAACAAGAAATTAAAAAGCACACTAATGAGTTTTATGCAGCTTCCTCCTAAACACGGAACAAAGAGCATTTTACGATTAGGAGTTAGTTCATCGGTGGCTGATTTTTCTCTATGTTCAAAAAGACAGTGAGCTGGACAGAATTCAGAGCTGCAAAACTTGGGACAGAACTCAGGGGCCCTGTGCTTAGTCCCAGAACTTTCACTAACTAGCTAGGTGACCTTTGCCAAGTCATTTAGCCTCCCTATGCTTTAATTTTCTCAACTATAAAATGAATAGGTTGCACTAGATGAAATCTAAGGAAGCTTCCACGCCTAAAACTCTATCCCGTGTGCACGGAATTCCATTCCCACCTGAATGATAAGAGTTTATACATCTTCCTCGGCCAATTCTAAATTGCTGCTGCAAAGAAAATTCTCCATGCTTTTCTTTGTGTGACTAAGAGAACAATAACAACAACAACACAAAAAAAGCATTCCTTTCCTCTTATCTGTAATACTAATGTACCAAAGGACTTTCGCACATAAACTTTCTCCAAATTTTAGCTGAGATTAAAGCTAGGAAAGTTCACCGAGCAGTGACAATTTGTTGAGGATGTAATGAAAAACAAGTTGAAAACAAATTCTGACTGACACTTCTCAGCCACCTAAGTGCAGAATTTTCTCTTGGATGGCTGAAGTGGAGAGAGATACTCTGTCAACAGCCTGCAGGGCCATGGAGCAGCCATATAAGTAAATAAAAGCTGCCCTTAAGGAAGCCAAACCAGTAAACACCTGGACATTCATGTATGCAAGTGGGGATAACATACAAGGAGGCTTGGAGTTCAAAATCTGCATTCTGAACATGTGTCTTGGTCATCTAGTGCTGCTATAACAGAAATACAAGTGGATGACTTTAACAAAGAGAAGTTTACTTCCTCCCAGTAAAGTAGGCTAAAAGTCCAAACTGAGGGTGTCAGCTCCAGGGGAAGGCTTTCTGACTCTGTCAGCCTTCTCATCAATCTTCCCCTGGACTAGGAGCTTCTCCACACAGGGACCCCGGGTTCAAAGGACACGCTCTGCTCCTGGCACTGCTTTCTTGGTGGTATGAGGTCCCCAACTCTCTGCTTGCTTCCCTTTCCTTTTATCTCTTGAGAGAGAAAAGGTAGTGCAGGCCACACCCCAGGGAAACTCCCTTTACATTGGGTCAGGGATGTGACCTCGGTAAAGGTGACTTTACAATCCTACTCTAATCCTCTTTAAAGAAAAATTACAATCACAAAGTGGAGGACAACCACACAATACTGGGAATCATGGCCTAGCCAAATTGATATACACATTTTTTGGGGGGACGTAATTCAATCCATGACAACACGTTAGCCCATTGCTTAAGTATACTCACAGTATCCTCCTTACTTTCTTTACTTAATTTTTCCTATCTCTCTGTAATTGAGTTTTAAAGCACCTTTGAATTTCTAACATTAAGAAATCTCTGTCGCCTTTGATTTAACACTCACATGGAAAGAGCTCTTTGTGGTTCCAGTGTTGCCTGGCATTAGAAATATTTAAGGCACACATCATGCAAATAATATTTGAAAGACCTTTTGTCACTGAAAACTGAAAAAGAGGCCTCTTCCAAAAGTTCTATGTACCATCAGTGACTTTACAGAGAAACCCTCCTGTGACTTTATTGCTTGCATATGTATTTTTAAAAAATAATTTATTTTGTTTTTGTTGTTGTTGAGAATATATATCTTAAAACACAGACCAATTTAAGAGTTTCCACATGTAGAATTCAGTGACATTGACTACATTCTTCAAGTTGTGCAACCATTCTCACCCACCTTTTCTGAGTTGTTCCTCCCCCATTAACATAAACTCACTGCCCCCTAAATTTCCTGTCTAATCTTTCAAGTTGCTGTTGTCAATTTGATTCCAAGTAGATAGTTCTTAAAACAGCATAATGCTCAAGGCAGACATTCTTGACTAGTTAAGCTAAACTATTGTTTGGTTTTAACAAGGCTTCAGGGGATACTTTTGGTTTAAGGTTTAAAGATTAGGGACTTCCAGGCAACATGGCACTGTAGTCAGAAGCACCACGCCATCCCTCCACAGTAAAGATGAGAAAAACTAAGTCGAAGAGAGTCACACGTCAATCCTGAAACCCTAAGCATCAAATGAAGAGATAAAGAACTCAGCCAAGCACCGAATGGAATAAGAAACTGACCGAGAACGGAGTGCAAGGAGAGTTACATGCAGAGGTCCCCTATCAGCTACCGCAGCATGGATCCGCCATCTTGGACTCCTATCGGAGATTAGCAAACAGGGGGTATGAGAAAGCAACTTCTCGGAGCTTCCAGCAGGAGACAGAACAACTGGTAACCAGCAATATACGCTTTCCCACACCCCACCCTTCTTCACCCCTACTCGGCCTCCTCTGCTTCCTGCGACCACAGTCGCTTGGCTGGGAAGCACCAGCTTCACACCAGTGTCGCCTGGATTCCACCCACCCGCACAGGCCAGCTCCCTGAGTGCCTTTTGTTGGCTACTGGTGTTGCTTTTTTCCGCTTCTTCTTCCTTATCTCTTACCACCTCCCCCTCCTCTCTCAAATACCTGGCTCCATGTGCCATCTTTGCTTCTTTCTAAAGGCTGCGAAACACCGCTCAACTGTGGAACTGCTTCCCAGCCCGTGCTGCCATGCTCGTGGGAATCCCTGGGGCATTTTTGTTTGTTTGCTCTGATTTGTTCTGTTTTGATTTGTTTGTTTTCTTTTTCTTTTCTCAGCTTGGGAGCCTCTTCTAGCAGGACAGTACTGCGCAGCTTGGAAGATATTCCCTTACTCTGTACAGACGCACAGGGATATCCCTGGGGGCGTTTCTTTTTTCTTGGTTTTGTTTTTTTTTTCTTTGTTTTGTTTTCTTCTCTCTTTTATTCCCTTTTTGTCTTTCTTCATTTCCAGTTTCTCGATTTATTCATTTTTTTCTTTTACTCTTTTTTTCATTTTTGTTTTCCCCCATTTCTCAGTCTCTCATCTCTCCACTCTAATAGCAAGCTCCCTTAGCACTCTTTTTTGTTTGCGTGTGTGTTTTTGCTCCTGTTCCTCTCTCCTCTCTCTCATCTTTCCCATACCCATCTTAGCTCCACACATCACATTCTACCCCCTCCTTCCTGCCTACCTGCACCATGCACTGAATATCACACTCCCAAGCAGCACAGGCACGGCCTACTGGAACCTGCCCTGCACTGATTCCTGGTCTGCACTGTCAGCCATGGTACATGCCACAAACAACCCATCCCAGCAACTCCCCTTCAGCTGAACCTGCCCCAATGTACCATACCTGAGTGACTGACCCTGCCCATTGGAGAAGGAGGTGAAAAGTATCATGCCCACAGACGAGCAACCAACAAAGAATGCACAGCCTGCCTGCTCAGACATAATCAAATCAAACAAAAAATCAGGATGAAACAAACAAATCTACAATCAGTAAACAAGGAAAATAAGCACTGAATGCCCTGAAGACAGCAGACAATATAAAAACATTTACAAAAACAGGA